GAAGAGCTGAGGGACAGCGTCCAGGCCCAGAGTTCAGGCCCCATGACCAGACCCCCCCCCAAAAAAAAGAAATAAGCATTTTATTTGGAAAGAATCAGATTGGTTCGTTCTTTGTTAAAAAGAAAAGTGTGTGTGCACATGTACAACTGGTCTTCGTTGAAGACGCCCTACCTAAGCCCTAATGTCCACCATTTCTAAATCATTCCTCAGCTTCTCTCAAATATATGTGAAAGAGATAGGCAAATTCCAAAACAAACAAAAAAAGAAATAAAAAAACTAATAAAAAATAGTAAGCAAAACCAAAGAAAAAGTAGAGAGGAGTGAGGTGTCCGTGGCTCCTAGCTGGAGGCCCAGCTATCCGGAGGCTGAGCAGGCGGCTGACAGCCCAGGCAGGAAGATCTGTGGCACCCTCATTTCCAATAAACACCCCCAAACCATTAGAAGAGTTGTGGCTCAAGTGGTAGAGCCAGCCTTGAGTGAAAAAGCTAAGGGACACTGCACAGGGACAAAGGGACACTGAGTTCAAGCTCCAGTATCAGATCAAAAGAAGTACAGGACAGTGAAGAGCTTGGTGTTTTGTTTTTTAATCATGAACAAACCTGTGTCATGAGCATCTCCATGGAGACAGGACAAGGCCATCACTTGGTGGACTTCCACCCCTTCCTCTAAGGGTGACGGATGTCCTGACTTCTTTCCCCGGGCTCATGTGGCATACGGTGTGGTGGATGTGAAGCCAGCAATGGGAAAGGTAAGAAGTCTGAGGGGGAGTTCCTCTGGCTTTTGGTAGTTTGGAAGCTTTCCCGTAAGGAGACTGCCATGTGGTTCAGGCAGAAAAGACGCTCTCTTTGATTTAATTTGCCAAATCTCGCGATATTGTGGGGTCCAAAGTGCTGTACTCAGGTCTGTAGAACCCAGCTCTGGCATCCCCCAGGCTGCAAAGCCACAGCGCTCAGGTGTGACTGCCGCTGGAATCCCCAAAGGGATTCTTCATGTGGGTCTGGGCCACTCCTAGAGTGGTGATGACATCTGGGGTAGGGTCTGAGCATCTGGGTTTCTAGGGGTGCTGCTGCTGGAGCCAAGACTGCTCATGAGATCTATCGGTAGCCAGATGCTGGTGGCTCAGGCCTGTAATCCTAGCTTTTCAGGAGGCTGAGAGCTGACGATCATGGTTGAAAGCCAGCCTCGTCAGGAAAGTCTGTGAGACTCTTACCTCCACTAAACTACCAACAAATCTAGAAGTGAAGCTGTGGCTTAAGTGGTAGAGTGTTAGTCTTGAGCAAAAGAAGCTCAGGGACAGTGCCCAGGCCTTGAGTTCAAGCTCCAACACACACACACACACACACA